ACCTAATGTACTCTTGATGTTTGACTATCTGTCGACCTAATACAGATTAGGTCGCTTATTAAATATATATATTTTAATAAATGGAGCCTAGATATATCGCGAATTTTGAGTCCATTATTCGTTCTGGAAAATACCCTTAGTTTGCTTGCTTCTAGTTATCAACATCTATGTTGATTAAGTGCACCATCTGTGATGCTTAGATAAACTTTGTTGATGCACATCACCTCACTCAGCATTTAAAATCAAACAAGCATAAAATGTAAGCCTTAATTATGTAAAATAATGATTAACAATCCATACTTAAATAAATCAAACAAGATACATCCTACATTGTTGCTTGACTTGACTACAACCACATTGATATGCATCCATCAGTACAGCATCATAGCATCTCAACTCCCCTTGATGTTGTTAATTAAACACAGTTAAATATAGATAATTAGATTATATAACCTACCATTGTTGATGATTTCTAATAAAACAATGAAATCAACATAGAGTCACCTCCCATTTATAGGTAAGATGAAATTGCAGATAAGCTTCTCTGGTACAAAGAAATTGAAGCAATGTACAAGAATACAAGTACTGGATCTGAGTATATGAGGTACAACAAATAATTTTAGAAGTGGTTCGTGAAAAACTATGGCAAAACCAAGATTCTTGAGAGACATGCTAGGGAATATGTAAGCATTTTTATAGAAGAAGGTAAGAGCACTTAGACTCTCATAGCTGCTCTTAAGTTTAGATTCAACTATTGCGAGAGACTAGGTTTCAACTTTAAAGGTCTACTTAAGCAATCTGAGTCTCTAAACACTCATAAATTTCTGTCAGCCGAGGATCGATAGTCGATCGACTAAAGTCTTAGCAACAACCTCTCCATGTAAGTTGCTTGTAGATTGTTGTATGACCTTGCTGCAAGATGTCAAGACCTACTCTAGTTTAAGTTCAACATGTTTATTCCAAATGGTGATGGAGCAACAATTGAATTCATTCCAAAGAAAACCAAGAAGAGTAAGGTTACAAGATCAGGTGTAATCTCTAAAGAGACATTTGATCTATTGAAGAAATTGCAGTTACTTACCTATGCCTCTAGTGATGAATTCATCTACAAGTAGACAGAGAAACAACTAAAGGATAGATTCTATAAGTTGTTCAAGAGGAAGCTTAAGATAGAAGTATAATCTCATGACTTTAGACACAGTAGGATTACTGATCTCTTCAAATAAAATATGAGTGTAAATGCTATCTAAAAGTACGTTGGTCACCTCTAATCTACAACAACTCTTAGATATATCAACATTGGTAAAGATGAAGCAGTGGAGCAAGTAAAAAACTTATCATCAATACCATTACCGAGGTAAAGAGAGAGTTTAGAGGAGGAGAAGTAAGCAAAATTTAATGTTGAAGAGCAGAAATCAGAGGACGAGTTACCTCAATCAATAACTTTAAAAGTCATCAGGTAGAAGAAAAGAAAAGCAAAGAAGGCTGGTTAGATGACTTTACACGATCTGATGGCGTTCACACAGATTGCAGAAGTGTTTGAGAGAAGACATGAGGCAGGTAAAAGATAAATGAAGTGAATTAAATGAATATAAGTGATAAAAAAATTAAGTATAAATACCCATATTTATTGGCCTCTAAAAGAGGCGACCTAATCTGTATTAGGTCGACAGATAGTCAAACATCAAGAGTACATTAGGTCGTCAACTCCTAGTCCAGGTATGTTTAAGTTATATCATACCAAGTTATTTCCCTATAATAAGATCAGCTGAAACATACTGGGTCTATGAGATAAATTTGAAGATATTTTTATCCTCTAGGTTTTTAGAGTTTATAGCCATATTGGCTCTAATTAAATTTCTAGTGTAAATTAAGAGATTTTGACTGTAATGGCTATCCGTTGATTATTCAAACTTTTTTTATTGCAACATAACCCATGTTGGTAGTGATTATGGTGGTGTTTACAAATCCCTATATCACTAGATTAAACAATGATTTATGATAGTCATCATACAACTGTATAGATAATCTCACTCAATTAGACTTAAAAAGTCATAACATATGTTATAGTGAAAAATCAAAAGTATCAATTTTGAGACCGAACTTAGGAGCCATCTTATAAAATGAAAAATTCAATTAAAATTGATAACCCTACTCATGTAAACATACAAATTGATAACTTTACTATAGTAGTAAAATCACACTATTAGGACTCTACTAGTAGTAATAAGTCATCATTATTGCCAATTTTTCTTAATATTATGATTTTTGGCTATAATAACCCTATAGGTGTAAAAAATGTAAAATCACAAAAAGTCATAAAAATGGTCAATATGACCCAAATCGATGATTCTGAGGCTTGGTTGCGACTTGGGTAACATTATGAAATTTTTCAATACTTGACCTACCAGTGGTATTTTATCATAAAAGTTGAAAAATTTGCTTAATATTATGATTTTTGGC